TTACTTCTGCAGATGAGGGGGTGGCTGTATGCCTGGAACCTCCTCCTCATCCACCCCCTTTGACCCTTCCTCACATGGCAGGATGAGCAAATGGCCCGGGAGCGGCGTGGCCACCAAGTGGAGGGGGGATGCTGTGCACTGGTTGTGGTCTACTTGCTAGGCAAGGTGTATGTGGCCAATGCAGGTGACAGCAGGTATGGCAGGGGGCAGGGGGAGCTTTGAAAATGACTAGAGGGGGTCACATTCTGTGGGACAGAGAAACAGAAGAGAGTGAGGCGGTGGATTTTAAAACCAAAGACAAGTGGGGCGGGAGGGATCACAGACATTAGGAAGGGTCTGGAATAGCCACCTGGGGAGGAAAGATGGCAGTCTGGGTATGGGATTCTAAGGGTCATTATGGGGAAGGCCTGGTCTTTCTAGAATTCTCCACAAGGGGGCCAAGGAGAGCTAAGCCCCAACCTCTTCTTTCTCTGGGCAGAGCCATCATTGTCCGGAATGGTGAAATCATTCCAATGTCTCGGGAATTCACCCCGGAGACCGAGCGCCAGCGTCTTCAACTGCTCGTAAGTAGGAACTAAACTCCTGATTCCTATTCTTTGTTGAGTCTTGTGCCTGTACCCTAGGTCCCGAGGACTCCCTCACCCGCACCGCACAGTCAGACAGACAGCTCCTTACTTCAAGGAGTGGGAGGAGTGCGGGGCTGAGCTGGTGGAAGACTCAGCAGGAAGAAGCGTGGGCTGCTCCTGGTCTCCCACCGTGGCCCCAGCTAAGAAAGGAAGCGGAGGCAGAGGTGGGGAGGGAACAGCAAACGGCCCCTGAGAGGCAGTGTGGTTTAGAGCTCTAAGCCCTGGCCCTGGATGGAGCTGGGCTGTCTCGGATTGAATCCTCGTTTGAATACTTTGCTAATTGTGTGACTTTGGACAGTTCCCCTAACTTGCATCAGTAGTTCTGGCCTTAGGGGTTGTTGTGAGCAGTAAATGAGTTAGTGTCTGTGAATGCTAGGCCGTGTGTGGCACCTAGTAAACTCCATTTACTAGAAAGGTCTGCCATAATTAAGATCATTTAGACGCCAGGCCGAGCTGTAAGCCTAATAACCCCTGGCCCTCTGCTCTGTCTGGCCACTCCCAACCCTAGGGCTTCCTGAAACCGGAGTTGCTGGGTGGTGAATTCACCCACCTCGAGTTCCCCCGCAGGGTTCAGCCCAAGGAGCTGGGCCAGAGGATGCTATACCGGGACCAGAACATGACCGGCTGGTAACACGTCCCTCAAAGCTGGGCCCATTCCCATGGCAACGCAACCAGTCCCTGGCCAGCAGCAAGGTGGAATCTGGAGGCTTGGCCAGGCTGGGAGCTGGGGGGATGTGGCCCTTCTTAGGGGTTTATGTGAGGGGCGTGGCTCTTAGGGGAGAGGGGCTTTGATGCCTCGGTGATGCCTCCTCTACTCCCCCTTCCCCAGGGCCTACAAAAAGATCGAGCTGGAGGATCTCAGGTTTCCTCTGGTCTGTGGGGAGGGCAAAAAGGTAAACTCCATGATAGAGGTGGGAGAGGGCAGGAGGGCCCTTCCCGAGTTGTCTAGGGAGGTGGAGGTTCCCCAGGGCAGGGTTGGGGGGCGTGGTTTCAGAGCCTGGGAGAGGGTTTTATTTAGCAGCACTGCGGCCTCCTTTTCTTTAGGCTCGCGTGATGGCCACCATTGGGGTGACCCGGGGCTTAGGAGACCACAACCTCAAGGTCTGCAGTTCCAGCCTGCCCATCAAGCCCTTCCTCTCCTGCTTCCCGGAGGTGAGCGACGGGGGCGCCTCCTTAGCCTCACCTTCCCTCCTCCGGGGCTCTGGCCAGCTCCAGCCCCAGGTCCCTTTATCTTCACGCTCCTATCCACCCCCTCTCCCTGCCAGGTGCGAGTGTACGACCTGACGCAGTATGAGCACTGCCCTGATGACGTGCTAGTCCTGGGAACAGATGGGCTGTGGGATGTCACCAGTGATTGTGAGGTAGCTGCTACTGTGGACAGGGTGCTGTCGACCTATGAGCCCAATGACCCCAGCAGGTAGGGGCTGTATGGCAGCAAAGGGGCGACAGTGGGGAAGGAAGGGGCAAAGGGAAGCAATGAGGGCCTGTGTATCTGTCTTCCCACGTACTTGTCGGTACATGAATGTGCACGTGTGCTCCTGGCAGGTACACAGCTCTGGCCCAAGCTCTGGTCCTGGGGGCCCGGGGCACCCCCCGGGACCGTGGCTGGCGTCTCCCCAACAACAAGCTGGGTTCCGGGGATGACATCTCAGTCTTCATCATCCCCCTGGGAGGGCCAGGCAGTTACTCCTGAGGGGCTCAGCCCCTGGCCTTCCCACGAGCCTCCTGACCTCTCCCTGCTTAACCTTTTCCCAGCCCAAATTCTGAAGTTGTCCCCCGACCTTCTTTAGTGACAATTTAGCTAAAGAAGGGGTGTCAGTCAGACCCAAAATGACAGCTACTGACAAATAAACCAGATGGATAAAAATGTGTCTCTTTTTACTTTGACTAGAAACCGAAAGGTAACGAGTTCTTTGGGGTGGTAGAAAGTACACCAGAACGGTCCTAAAACTGTAGCGTTCCCAGGTTCTCTGTTCTGCCCTCTGCCCTTTCCACTCCACATACTGTTGTCCATTCTGTGCCTTCATCCACCTGCTGGATTGTCCACATCAGTACTTCCAGCCCGGGCCTCTCTCGAGCTCTAGACCCACATGGCCATTGTGTCCGGGACATCAGGGCAGCCCTCGAGCACTTCTGCCCAACATACCTCAAACCGAAGTCGCCACTTTCCCGGCAAACCTCTGCCTCTGGTTTGTCATCTCAGTGGGCACCAGCCCAGCTACTTGCGTTGGAAGCTGGTCTCGAAATTGGCCACCTTTGGCTCTTCCGCATCAAGTTAATCACTAAGGATTTTTTAATAGATATTTTAAAAATATTTCATGTTTGTCCACTTATTTCCACCCCTACTGCCGTCACTGCGTTAGCTTCCTAACTCGTCTCCTCGCTCTGTCTCCAGACCACTCCCCTGCTTCCCCCAGCATACCGGAGACATCCCAGGCAGAGTGTCCCTTCTGCGGTGTGAATTGGAGCTGGCTATTCCCCTGCGAGAACATTTTAGTGGCTCCTTCCTGCCACTCAGAAGAACACTCTTGAATGTGGTGTGCAAGGACCTTCCTGTTCTGGCCACTGTTTCCTCCTGCAGCCTCGTCTCTCACCACCACCTTTCTCCTGGGGTTTCCTTTCCATAATCAGGCCTGTGGTAGCTCCAACCCATTTAAAATCTTCATATCACTCCCAACACTTCACCTGTCCTTTGGGGCTGGGTATCCCACAGCCCATGCATGTGCCCGGTACAGCAACTGCCTCCTATATTATTGCTGTCTGTAGTAGGGACTGGTATGGAGTAGCAGTTAAGAGCTGGGGTTCTAGAGTCCTGCTGTTTGGGTTCTGGTGCCAGACCCAACACTAGCCCTGTAACCTCTCTGAGCCTCAAGTGGCTTCTCACTAAAATGGAGAGAACAGTACATAAGGTTGTTGTAAGGACCGAAGTAGATCATGTATATAGAGCCAGGCCCATGCAGTAAGGGTTCAGTTAACTGTTAGTTATCTTTACGTTGTCTGAATTTAAACAGTAAGTTCTTTGAAGGCTCTCGGTTCACACTCAAGGTCTGGGGACCAAAGTGCTCTGGACCTTGGTCCTTGGTTTTCTGATTTATCAAGTGTGTGCGTTGCACTTCAGATCTTAAAAGTCTACAGGACTTCTAACATTCATTCATTCAGCAAATATTTGGTGACAACCTACAATGTGCCACACACGGCTAGACAGCGGGAAGGGACAGGTGGAGTAGCAGAGGGGGCAGCAGGGAGAGAGCACCAGCTTTAGGGCCAAACAAACCCTAATATCTGATATGATTTTATTATTTTTAGAGAGAGGGGAAGGGAGGGAGAAGGAGAAATATCAATGTGAGAGAGAAACATCAATTGGCTGCCTTCTGTACTGGTCCCAGCTGGGGACTGAACCCGAAACCCAGGCATGTGCCCTGACCGGGAATCGAACCAGCAACCTTTCACTTTGCAGGACAATGCCCAACCAACTGAGCCACACTGGTCAGGGCAATATCTGAATGCTTGTTGTATCACATAGAAATTGCGAAAACTGGGGCAAGCCACTTAACTTCTCTGAGCTTCAGTGTCTTGCAGGCAAAGTGGTATGGGTATACTTAACCCAAAGACCTGTAGTGTACCCAGCACAGGCTAATGAAAAGTTGGTAGACTTCCTCATCCTCCATCCACCTCCTCGGCCACCTTACAGGGAAGGTGATACACGTGTAGGTAAATACCCAAAGCGTTAATTCAGACCAGACGAAGTGTCCCTAGCGGCACAGAAATACTGTTTGCGAGGGAACTGAATTCCCAGCTGGGGATCTAGATTTCCAGGAGCGCCCTTTGAGGGGTAAGTAGGAATTGGACTCGGGGAAATTCCAGGTAGAGGGAAGGAAGGAAATTGTGAAGGGGAACGGTGGCCTGGGTCTCAAAGTTTCTGTAAAGGTCTCCCGGCTGGGGAATGATACTGGGCTGTACTTTCTCTGCAACGATTCCAGGAGCAGAGGGTGGGCCTCTCCGCAGGCCCCTCTTCGGGCGTTCGGAGGCCGCCCTTTGCCAGTCCTGCCTCCCGGGAGGTCCCGGGTGGTGGAGGCGAAGGTGGCTAGGCGGCCACGGGAGGGCAGCAGCGGCCCTTCCCAGACCCCACCCGGGCGCCTCTCAACTTTCCCGACGCCGGTCCGCCCCTAGGGCCTGGGAAGCGGCGCAGAGGGAGAGCCCTCGGGGGGGGGGGGCCGTCTAGCCCCGCAGCCCACTCCCCCCAGCTCCAAGCATCTCTCCCAACCCCGGGCCACCAGCGGGGTCGACCTTCGGTGGCCCCGTGCCTGGCTGTGGACGGGAGGAGCCCGGACTCGCCCCTCCTTTGCCGGGCCCGCCCCTCCCCTCCGCGGCGCTGGAAGAGGGCGGGGCGCGGCCCTCGGGTCAGTCTCTGCCTCCGGCACCGGCCGCGCAGCTGAAGGCGGCCGAGCGGAAGGTACCCTGGGCCCGGGGCTGCGGGAGCGGGGCGTCCCGGGAGCGCGTTCCCGGGAGGACACTTTCCCCCTCTCCGCTTGGCCGGAGGTCGGAGCGCCGCTGGGGAGGGGGCTGGGGCCCGAGTGTCGGCCGCCTCCCCGCCGCTAGGACGCGGCGTCTGGGCTGCGCGGGGGTCCGGCCGGCCCGGCCCTGCCTGGGCTGCAGCCAGGGTCCCCGGGAACTGCCCCACTCGGCCCGGCCCTCCCGGGGTCCGAGTCGGAGTCCTTCCCCTTCCCCTCCCGGCTTCCCGGAACCTGCTCCGCCGGGAAGGGGACAACTTGGGGCTCCGCGAGAGAGCCCCAGCCCAGGCTGGGCGGTTCCGGGATCGGGCGGCCGGAGGTGGACCTGGAGTGGGGTGCGGGTCCGGGCCGAGGCTGGGTGGACGTAGAATTTTCCCCAGGCGGGGCCGGGGGAATGGCGGGAATAGGGGCGGGGTGTGACCGGTGGGGGCTGCCACTGCTCGGCTGGGTCTGGACACCGCCCTAGACGGTTCCTGGAGCCAGCCTGGGGTGGGAGGTAGGGCAGAGTCGCCAGGATCCAGCTCCTTTGTGTGTTTGTGTGTAAGGTGTTAGGGCCTCCTTCCTTCCAGCCCCTCCCTCACACTCCCCAACCCAGGTTTGGCCTGGGAGCCCCGAGGCTGAGTTCTGGTTTTCAAGTTGAGGAGGAGGTACCTGGTCCGTCGAGGTGGTTTGCAGGGAACAGCAGGGCCCCGGGGTCATCTGGAAATGAAGAGAATACTCGAGGAGAGAGTGACGTCTGTCTCGTCTCAGGGAAGGCCCCAGGAGTCCCAGGCTCCATTCCAGGGGCAGGGTGGGGTTTGACTGCCCCTCTTAGGGTCTGCGCGGCCATTTCTCTGGGGCCGCCTCTCTCAGGGAGCTGTTGTCATTGCCGCCTTGGCTGTGGGCCTGAGAGCCCTGGCCTGGGCCGGCTGCTCTTCTGGCCCAACCGAGGGCCTGAAAGGAAAGGCTTCCGATTGAGCTGGGGCTCCAGGCCACCTCATCTATGCCCTGGTCCCGCTGCCTGCTGCCACCTGAACTGCCTTGCTAGGGGAGGGCAGTGGCACACGGAAGCCTAAGCAGCTGGTGATTGCGCCCCGTCTGCACTGAGCATCCCATGTTGGGGCTGTTCCCCCAGCCTGTCTGCACACAGCTGGACTGGACGAAGGAGTAGGGGGAGGGGGAGTTGTCAGCTGGGCTGAATTTCCAGGAACCCCCTTGTTCCTGGATGGTTTCCATTTTTGGAGGGGATCTGCCGGCATGGCGAATGCCTTCTTTGCCTGTCTTTTGAGGTATCAGGGAGAGCCCCTTTCCAGTTGGAGAGAATGTGGCTGTGTACTTTCAACTCCTATAAATTCTCTCTGACTCATATCTACTTCCCCTCATTCCAGTGTGTGTGTGTGGGGGTGGGGGGAGGCCACCCAGACCCCACTGTTGTTATAAGAGAACGGGCCTTGGGCTGGAAGATTGGCTTCCTACAGGGCAGACCAAGAGAGGGGTGTGAGGTTGTGGTGGTATGTGGGGAGAAAAGGAGTTCAGCCCAGTTTGACAGGATGTGGGACCAAGAGAAAAAGCCAGGTTTTGGGCAGAGATCAGATTACCATCCCCTTCTTTCTTAACTACTCCCTGCCTGTTCGGTCCTGGGGCTGGCTCTCATTTGTCTCCTTTTGGGGGGGCTCCTCCCAGCAGCCTTCCCAACAGTCTCAACTTCATCTGCCGCCCCCCACCCCCCACCAGCCTCCTCTCTCTTCCTCCAGGCCTGGAGTCTGGGCACTCCGGCCGGCTGGAGGTCGGCTCCGGTCCCCTGGGAGGGCGGAAGTGAGGCTTAGCTCAGGGGCAGGGAGGCTGGGCAGGTGTGATGAGCTGTGCAGACGCGAGCTGGTGGTGTTGGGGGGGGGGGCCGTAGAAACCCCGGGAAGCTGACTCCTTGCCCTGAGTCACAGGGAGGGGTGCGCAGGGCCCTGGGTGAGCTAGCTGGACCGAGGGGAGGAAGGGGCTGTTCCACAGAATGGGTGGAGGTGACTCCCTAGTGGGTTATTCGGTCGCTCTGCTCTGGTGGATGTGTGGCTCCCTACAGTGTGGTCATTGTCCCCTGCCTGAGGCTGAGTGACCCAGTGTTGCTGCCAGGCCCAGGAGGAAAGGGGCGGGGGGAGGCAGGCTGCCCGAATGTGGGCTGCGGGCAGTGCGGGGACTGAGCCTCCTTTGTGTGACTTGGGGCTTTGGGAGCCGGGCCGGGGTGGGCCAGGGAGGCCCGCTGGCTGCTGCCGCTGCCCTCTGTCTGGGCTTCCCTCCCTCTGCTCTTTCCCACCTCTGGGATGAGACGCAGAAAAGGCAACAGGCTCTAGAGGCACATAGCCCTGCTTTGAATGTGCTCCCGGCCATGACTGCCGAAAACGTGTGTGAGCCTCCCTTTCCTAATTTGTCCGAATAGGAAGCTCTCCATTTCCTTTCTAGGCCTCTGGGGACCGAGGGAGAGGATTTTTGTCAAGATGCCCAACAGTTTCTCTTACCCACCTACCACCTGGTAGCTCGTTCTTCTGGCCTGTGGCCTTGAAGAGGGACTTGTCATCTGTGACAGGGCAGGCATGACTTATGCTGAGTGAGGGACAGGACAGTGTGTTCTAAACTGGACCTTAACGATTATTAAATTTTAGAAGTATCAAAATCCTGGTGACAAATGAAGTCTGACTCAAAACCCTGATATGTAGAGCACATAAAGGCTGGCTCCTCTGGACATGTCCCCAAACACCCCTCCAGGTGTTCAGGGTCCCACGGTTGATGAGTGGATGAGGTCAGAACTCAGGTTGTCTGGCTCCCAAGTGGCTGGTTTTTCCACCTCCACTCCGTTATTCTAACCCATTGGGGGAGACCTGACCCAGAGATAAGGAATTTCAAGCTCAGTTGCCTGAACAATTGGTTCTTGGCAAGAACATGTCTCAACAAGCCCCTTTCCATCCCTTTGCTGGATGCCTCGGTTTCGAGGGAGGCCTTGGGGGGCCCAGAGAAGTGTTTTTGGACTTCCTAGTCTTCTCCCCAAATCCCCACTGCCTCTTCCCTGCCAGCCCCAGCCATGGCTGCGATCCGAAAGAAGCTGGTGATTGTGGGGGATGGGGCCTGCGGGAAGACCTGCCTCCTCATCGTCTTCAGCAAGGACCAGTTCCCAGAGGTCTACGTCCCTACTGTCTTTGAGAACTACATTGCAGACATAGAGGTGGACGGCAAGCAGGTGAAGGCATAGCCCCTTCCCCCGTCACCCGGAAACCCGCCCTGACACTGTGGACCCAGGACGCCCTCCTTCACTACCCATGTCCTTGCTCCGCTCTCCCTGCTGTTACCAGTGAAACTTAGGAAGTAAAACCCACCAGGAAATCTAGAGACTACACCTGGTTCTCGCCTCTGAGCTTAAGCTCCCCCAACTGCAAAGCGGGGGTAATGATAAGGCCCCCTTCAACGGGTTTCTATGAGGATTAAGTAAGGTAGCAGTGCTCACAATGGCAGTTCATAAACTTCCTGAAGATCAAGCACTGATGTCTCAGGATTTTAAAAAACTCCCGATTTGTGTTGGGCAACAGTGATTAGCACCACTCCTGGCACGCGGCAGGTGCTCTGTAGCTGTTCAGTGAGCCTCGAGGAGCAGCGGCCTCAGTGAGGACCTCTAGGTAGAAGGGCGGGGCGGGGGGGCGGGTTGCCTGGGCCCTCAGGCCAGCCACTCACTGGCCCTGCGTGTCAGGTGGAGCTGGCCCTGTGGGACACAGCAGGGCAGGAAGACTACGATCGCCTCCGGCCTCTCTCCTACCCGGACACTGACGTCATCCTCATGTGCTTCTCCATCGACAGCCCGGACAGCCTGGGTGAGGGCGCTGGAGGGAGGGGACCCGAACCCCTTGGCATCAACCAACCCGAGGTAGCTCTAGCCTTGGCTCATTTCAGCCTTCCTCGGAGGCCGAGGCTGTGGGGAGGGGCGCCGGGGCTCTTGGCTTCCGTCCCCATGGGTACTCTGGCCCCGGGCAGGGCTCAGGGGAGGGGTTCTGAGCTCTGTAGGGGACTGCCATGCTGCGTACCCTCTAAGACTGCAGTGGGGAGACCAGGGGCCTGGTAGCGGGTGCTCTCTGGCCTAAGTGGAGGCACCAGCACCTGTTGGGACTTGTCTGTGCAGAAAACATTCCTGAGAAGTGGACTCCGGAGGTGAAGCACTTCTGCCCCAACGTGCCCATCATCCTCGTGGGCAACAAGAAGGACCTGAGGCAAGACGAGCACACCCGGAGGGAGCTGGCCAAGATGAAGCAGGTGGGTGGGGCGGCGGGGCGGGCAGGGCAGGGCAGGGCCTCGCCTCTCCAGAGGCCGGCCTGCTGGAGGGGATGCTGTCGTCCACCGCCCACCCTGGTGAGGGAGAACCAGAGGGGCCCTTAGGGTCCATGTCGCCATCAGAGAATCAAGTGACTTGTCTGAGGTCATTTGGCATTTTAATTTATTCGTCTGTGTTTGGGGTTGAAGCTATTAAGATGAAGAAAAGCCCAGAGTGAGGGAGCTGGCTTAGCAGGGGACCTGGTAATTGGTTCTCTAGCCAGAGGATTAGTTTATTAGAGAAAGCTGCCAAAATAAGGAGTAGGAACTCTCCTGAGGATAATTAAGCCAAGGTTTTAAACTGGGGACAGATGTGGTCAAATCTGTGTTAGAAATATTATTCTGGCAGCCATCCAGCATGGCTGTAAGAGAGTGAGAATGGAGCCCTGGCCGAGTGGCTCAGCTGGTTCGAGCAGTGCCCCGTACACCAAAAGACTGCGGGTTCAATCCCTGGTCAGGACACGTGTGGGAGGCAACAGATTGATGTTTCTCTTTCTAAAATCAATAAACACATCCTTGGGTGAGGATAAAAAAGAGAGAATGGAGGCAGGGAGGTCAGTTAGGAAGTGCTAGGTACCTATTCAGGTGAGAAGGGTTAACCGTGGGTATGGGGCTCATGGAGAGAATTTTGATGTAAACATGAGTGTTGGGTCCCTGGCCCTCAAGCTGCCCTGGGGGGCTGAGGCTTGGGTGCTTGGTGGGGGTCAGGGCTGGAGAGATTTCTTCTGGTCACCGCCCTTCTGGGGGTGGCAGTGAGACGCCCCTCCCTGCAAGCCCCCTTTGTCCTCTCCACCCCTCTGCCCCCAACAGGAGCCCGTTCGGTCGGAGGAAGGCCGGGACATGGCAAACAGGATCAGTGCCTTTGGCTACCTCGAGTGCTCGGCCAAGACGAAGGAGGGGGTGCGGGAGGTCTTCGAGATGGCCACCCGGGCTGGCCTCCAGGTCCGCAAGAATAAGCGCCGGAGGGGATGCCCCATTCTCTGAGACCCCCAAGGCCTCCCCTCCTTCCCCACCTGAGTCCCTTCACGGGGGTGCAGTAACACCCCCGGCCCACCCTCTTAGGGGCCCCGTGCTGAAGGCCCCCTTTTCCAGTTCCCTCTAGCCCAGGACTGCAGCGGTTTCCGAGGCCCCGGCCTGCCCTGGTGGTGGGGGCTGGCGGTGGCGGGAGCCCCCTCCTACCCACCGGCTCTCTGGGAGCCTAGGGCTATGCTGGGCCCTCCCAGAGCAGAGTTCTGTGCTGCCTGGGTCCAGGGGTGGGGCTCTCGATCCCTTTGGCCTTTCCCAGAGGATCATAACACACCAGCACTTTAAGCGCTTCTGGCTCACAGGAGGAGGAGCGTGTCTGGGGTAGGGGACTTGGAGAGTGGAGCCCAGAGTCCTGGGTCCCTACTGTTTCTGCTCTGGGCAGGGGCCTTGTCTCTGGCTGTACCTGGTGGGGGGCATGAATAAAAAGGCCACAGGCTTCAACATGTGTATGGCAGCTTCCTTTCTCTCCTGGTCCGTCTTGGCCTGGAGCCTTACTCCCATCTCTCCTCTTTCCCAAGTCACTTAGCAGGCGGGCCCCCCATCCCACTTGCAAAGGAAGGACTCTGGGCAGGCAGGGTGGAGTCTGGCAGCAAAGCATGAGGTCATGCCTGGCTCTGGGCCTCGGAGGCGGGCGAGGGGAGTGGTCTGGAGCCGGGGCTAAACTTAGAAGCCTGTGGGTGGCTTCCCTGCCACCTCCCACTGGGTTTCCTCTCCTGGTTGTGGGGGCTGGGTTCCTCGCTAGGGGGAGGGGTATGGCTCTCAGTAGTGTCCCCTCTTCTTCTGTGGGGTTGGCTTGGGGGCTCTGGAAGCAGGTGCCAGGCCAAGAAGACATGGATGCTTTTATATAGAAAGACATTTTCAGTTTTTCCTCTCTGCCTCCAGTCGGTATCTTGATTTTTCATTTTCTCCTGGGGTGGGGTTCTGCTAAGCTGGGGTCTGAAGCAGGGCGGGGGCGGCGAGGAGGAGAGGTAACGCTGCATCTCTTCAGAGCTCGTTCCTCCACTGTGGCTCCACTTGCAGGGGCAGGTTGCCTTCACCCTCCAGGTCCTGGGAGAGGCAGTTGTGACTTTGGGGCCCTAGAGAGACAGGAAGGGAGCTGTCTTCCTTACCTGCACCCCCAGCACTGGCCCGACCCTGGCCCTCCCAGGCCGAGCCATACCTGAGGTAGAGGAGCTGAGCTTGCTCAGATCTTTCAGTAAGTTCTGTCCTTGCTCCATTTCCAGTGTGGCAGGGAAGGGGCACCCGGTATAGCCCCCCTTTTCTTTACAGAAGTCCAGGAATCTGCGGGGGACAGGGACACTCACAGTGTGCCCGGCCGAGGCACACCAGCGGAGGCTGGGGCCAAGTCTTGTTCTGGTCACATCGGCCGGTGCCTCTGGGCGAGTTGCTTAACCTCTGAGCGTCAGGTCATTTAAGTGGGGTACTGTGAAGACGGGCAGGTCTGAGGGTGACCCAAGCCCCGCGGAGGTGCCTACAAAGGTACAGCAGCGCTAGGCTGGGGGCTGTGGCCGCCAAGAGGGGTTGTGGGGTGGGAATGCTCACGCCTTCCAGTCGGGGTCGTGGCCCAGGAGGAGCGGGTTGCCCACCACGATGAGCAAAGCCTTGGCCCGGGTCACAGCCACGTTGAACCTCTGGAAGGGAGAAGCAGTGCCGTCACGGGAGAGAAGAGCCCTAGGGAAGGGGGGATTCCTTTCCTGGCCAGCACACAGACCTTGGGGTTCTTGAGGAAGCCCAGGCTGAAGTCCAGATCTAGCTGCACAAAGCTCTGGCTGCTCCGCACGGTGGAGATGATGATGACGCTGCGCTCTTGGCCTTGGAACTCTTCCACGGAGCCCACCTGCGGGGAGGGCAGTGCTGGGACCGCGGCCGGGGCCCAGAGGACAAGCCCTGCCTGGGGAGCTTTAGCACTAAGGCGGGAGTGGAGAAGTCCCTGGGCAGTTGTCGCAGGGGAGTGAGCGTGTCCTGAAGGGCAGGGGAAGGGCCAGGAGGGCAGCCTGGAAGCTGTTCCAGTGCAAGGGATTGGGCGGGGGCTGGCGAGTGTTCTAAGTAAAGAAAACACTCAGGAGTGTTTTTCAAACTTTCCTGAAGACGGTCACTAAGTACTTGTTAAAAATGTGCTGTACAGCCCAGACCACCTGAATCAGAATTCCCAGGGGAGAGGCCCCGCAACCGTAAAGCGCAGGTTTCCAGCCCCGGCTGCACATGAGGTCACCTGAGGAGCTGGCAGTGACCTGGGTGCCCTGGCTCTGCCCCCAGATTGCTGTATTAATGGGCTGGGTGGGGCCCTGGCACAGGCAGTACCAGAAGCTGTCCAAGTGATTCTTATCTGCAGCCAATGTTGAGAAACACCACCTGAGAGTGAAGCTACTGTCCCAGAGGGCAGGAGAGGGCAGGAGAGGGCAGCGGGGCGCTGTCACATGACGGGTCAGGCAGGCCAGGGAGTTTGGACTTTATCCTTAGGGCACAGGCCTCAAACCAGCCAGATCATAAGAACGGCGTGGGGCTGCTTGCTCAACACGCAGGCATCCTGGTCCCACCCTGAATGGCCAGTCAGGATCTTCAGACTGAGAGGCTTGGGGAGGATCCCAGCCAGGGTGGGGGGCAGGGCAGGGTGGCCTGGAACACCAGGGCTGGAGCCCGCGGAGGTCCCTGCAAGTGGGGAAGCATGGGGCACAGAAGGCAGGGAATGAATCTGCAACAGTGGTCGGTGTCACCTTCAAGTCCTTGATGTCATTCAGTCCCCGAAGCTTCTTGTCATGTTTGGTGATGCACTCCCGGATTTTTTCCACCTGGAAGATGGGGACAGGTACCTTTCTCTCATCCCATTACCCCAGTGCAGGAGGGAGCCAGGAAGGCAGAAGGCCAGGGAGCTGGGAGGCAAAGGGGGAGGGACAGCAGACCCCAGAGTGTCCCAGACTGAGAGCCAGCACAGGCCCGAGCTCCTGGAACCTGTGCCTAGTGATCTGGCTATGACTGTGGTACCCTCCAGGAGGCAGGGGGCGGGAAGGAGTCCACCCTCAATGTGAACTGAGGACCTAACCTGCTTCCTGTAGGGGGAGATGACGCCCACGTGTCGGGGGCTCAGGTGGCTTTTGCCTTTCTTGGATGGGGAGGTCAGGAGCTGCTCCAGGTAGTCAGTCACTGTGGCAGCCTCTTCAGGGTTGAAGAAGGATGGGCTGTTGCCCTCACGCTCATCCTTGCCCATTACGCCGTGAAAGATGATGGGAAAGCCCTGGACACAGGTAGGGGAAACCCTCAGCCAGACCTCCCTGCTGCCTTCCCTCTCACCCTCAAACTCTTCCAGGCAACATGGGCTCCCAGGCCAAGGCGATGAGGACACAGGCCCATGGCTTCCACTCAGAGCCTCCTCCTCCCTTGCACTGTCAACAGGAGGGAAGGCGAGGTGCAGGGGTGGGAGCCCCTCACCAGCTGAGGCAGACCGTCCCAGTCGCAGAAGCGCTCCCGCTGCATAACGTTGGCACAGGCCAGCAGCTCCCCTTCGTAATAGAGCCGGTTAGGAACGTCCAGGATGGTGGGGTGAGACCTGGGAGGCAGGAGGAGGAAGGGAGAGCAAGACCAGGGGCTGGACGACTTTGGCCTCGCCCTCAAGGACCCTGTGCTGCATGCTCTGGGCCCTTGCACATCATCCCCCTGTCCCCCAGATAGTGGGCTCATTCATCTACAGTGTCTGCTGCTCGAACTGGAAACCACAGCAAACAGCCACGTGTGGTTCTGGAGAGGATCCAGTCCATGGATTTCAGATCAGCCAAATTTAAAAGAAGAAAACAAGACATCAGAAACCCATTCTCAGGTTTCAATTTTGAGAAAAGAATAATACAAACACAGGGATCATCTACTATCACCAGTAATTTGATGGGCTAACGTGTAAAACCCAAAAACATAAAAGTACTAATACAACAGCTGACATTTACTGAACTCTTGGTGAACTTCCCCAAGGAATTAAGGACTTTGGAGCTCACCTGAGCACTCTAGATGCATGAACTTGCTGAAGAAAGTGAGGATAACTCTTTAAACAACAATGAGGCTAATGAAAAACTACATTGTCCCCATTTTTCTCACTTCTCCTTGGATTGCCCCAAAATTCATCAGGGACCCACACCAGACACATCCCAGTGTCTGGGCGTCAGTGACCAGGCCCTTATACACAAGCTAAGCAAACTGTTCTAAAGGAAAGCCACTTGCTAAGCCACAGCCACGGAGTAGCCGTCATGGGGCTGGAGAGGAGACCTCCGACCTGGCGACCTGCCTTACAGCCTTCCTGTGACGCATAGCCCCTGAGCCCCAGGACTGCAGGAGGGAGCCCCGCCCAGCGGGCCTGCACGGGGTGTGAAGGCACGGGGTTGCAGGAGGCGGGAGGGGGCGGGATACCTGTAGTTGCGCAGCAGCTTGATTATGAACTGGGGGTTATAGCCCTTGGTGCCCTTCTTGTACAAGGAGTTGTGGGTCAGCAGCCGCTCCAGCAGTGAGTGCCCCAGGCCATGCTTCTGGGCCAGTGGGGAACGCAGCACAGGCCCCAGCTGCCGCGGGTCTCCTGCCAGCACCAGCTGTCCTCCTGGATCGCCTGATTCCTTGACTTCCATCAGCCCTGGGAAGCAAGGGAGCGTGGGGAGAGCGGCAAGTGGTGGGGCCTCCCCAACCCCCGCAGGGTGGCGCACCCGCAGCCCACCCTGAGCCCTCACCTGCGATGGCCACCAGGCTCTCGGGCTCCATGCAGTGGCCAGCCTCATCGATGAAGATGTGTGTGAAGTGACCGATGGGAAACTGGGCCGAGACCAATCTGGGAGGTGTCAGGCCAGGCAGAGGTCAGACCTGGGCACCGGACCGCCAAACCCAAATGCTCACCCAGGCTGGCCCCTCACCCCCCTCCCCAGCCTGCGACTTCTTATACACGCACGCTTATGACACACACATGCACGCGCACACACCCCACCTGCTGGCAGTGATGAGGGTGGTAATTAGGACTCGATACTCCTGCAGCTTCTTCTTAGAGGGAAACACGTACTCCCCTTTACCTGCATCCCAATTGCAGCAGGGCTGTGCATGTGAAGGGAGAGGGGAGTCAGCTCGGCGCCCCCTCCCCTTGCTCTGGCTCTCGGTCCCCAGGCGATTTTACCCTCCTCTCACTTCACACACGGTGGGGGGTGGCACTGAAGGCCGAAGGGGGTCCTGACCCAGGCAAGGTCACCCAGTGGCTGCCAGAACCCAGGTGTCCGCGTTTCCCTGCCTCAGGTCCATCCCGGGGGGTACCTCCCGGCACCCTCTATCTCCCGGCCGCCTGCACTTCCCCACGCACCTTGATGTCTTCAGGCACCATGCGGATGTCCCTGCTCGGGGCCAGGAGGCGATAGATGGAGCTGGGCAGGTGGGTCTGGAGCCGCTGACAGAGGAGGTCAGCCCCTGAGTTGGATGGGGCGCAGGCCAGGATGTGGGCCTTGGGCAAGTGCTTCACCACCTGCCGGGGAGGGGATAAGCCGGTGTGGGAAGCGGCTTCCAGGCAGAGTGGGGAGACTCAGTGGTGATCATGCCTCAGGCCAGTGCAGTGTGACATTTGCCTCCCAAAGCTGAAGGAGGCAGTGAGGCAAAAGGCAAGTTCTGACCCCCGGGGCTCCTGCTAGTCCCGACCGCCCTTTATTGCTGGGCTGAAACGTGAATGGCGACTCCATGAGTTGCATAGTGTAGCACCGACGCCACAACGCTCAGCTGCCACGCTGACCCGTGATGCCAGCTTCGGGGCGTTCGGGCAGCTGGAAGGAGCCAGACTCTGGAGACAACTCCTTGGCCCTGGGGGAGTCCGCGTGTATGCAGGCCCCAGGTCTTTACTCGGGCCCCACCTGCTTGATGGCTTCCACTAAAGTGACAGTCTTGCCGGTGCCTGGAGGCCCAAAGATGATGTAGGGGGCCGGACGGGTGGTGCCCGCAACAATAGACTTCACGGCCTGGAGCTGCTCTGGGTTTGACTCCAGATTCCGATCATATAGCCTGCAGAAGGGCCGGGAACATGAAGTCACCAGTGTCCCAGAGGCCACCCAGACTCCAGTCCCGAGGCCCGCACTCCAAGTAGCCCAGAGCCCCCTGCCCACAGTCTCACGTGAGCTTCACATTTGAGGACAGCGGAACCCCACGGGAAGCCTTCGGAAAGAGCGTGGGCCACAGCGGATGGCTACTCGTCAGCTCCAAGGCACGATGTTGCGCCTGCAGGGGCTGGCGGTTGAAGGTGAAATTCACCTTGAAGGTCAGCCCATCCACAAAGCGGTCCAGGAGGCTGTGGGAAGGGAGAGAGACGGGGAAAGAGTTCCAGCTAGGAGGGGGGGCAATAAAAGGCCAGGACTCTCCATCTACCTCGACTGCACTCTCACTTTCCAAGACCTCCATGCAATCCATCGAGAAGAGGGAGCTGCTGAGGCATCTCAGGGTCCCCCTGAAGTCCCACTCATCTCAGGGAGCAGCACCCCTTCTTCCCTGGCCTCAAAGAGATGTCTGTAGACCCTTCCGGCAGCTCAGGTTTTCCCCACACCCACCTCGTGGGAAAGCTCAGCTTGACACGTTCCAGTTCCACCCGGTGCACAAAGCCCTTGTAGGTGACAGCATCATTCTGATGAGCCTCAGAGGACAAGAGGGCAAACAGGTGGTCTCCCCGGAGCACCGAAGGGCGGCTCTCGGCCACCCCAGGAACCTGTGGGGTTTGAACACAAGCCAGATTCTATCTCAGGGAGGCCCGCAGAGGGCCCCCTTCCATCCCAAGGCTCAGGCAGTTTTGCCTCTTTCCTCTCCAAACAAAAAGTGGAGTCAGGGGACAAGGGAAGGAACAAGTCTGTCTGTCCAAGCTCTTCAGAGACGCTAAGCACAGCGATCTTGGAAACCCTCCAAAGCATGATTCCAGCACTTGGGAGCAGCTTTCCAAACTGTCCGGTTGCCCTCTCGGGCCAGCTCAGTTTCTACTGTGCCTTTAAAATCTCATTAAAAACTCAGTCCCTGCTTCTCACCAGGTCCCTTCCTCAGGACTCGGGTGCAGGAATGCCCCGATCTCACGTAATTCTGGACTGCTATGGACACATTGAACACCTGAGAGTGGGAAAAGGCTCTGAGATCTAGTGCAGCTCTGCGCTTTCAGATAAGGGAATAAAGGCCCCGAGAGAGCAACGGACTCGCCCAAGGCCCCACAGCTGGTGGCAGCTAAGTCTGGACTGAAACCCGGGTCCTCCCTCTGCCCTCCTCTGACACTCTTTTTGGGCACAGGATGCCCACCCTGCCCCTTGCTGCACCCTCCGGGGCACAAACAGCTTCCCCCTTCCTCTCATCCTGCCCGCCGCCAGGAGCCGTGTGCTGCCTGTGGCCTGTGGGTTGAGCCCACATCCCAGCCCCCAATTCCAGCCCCAACCTCCAGCGTGAGCAGCTTGGGGCTCAGGGCGACGGGGTCCAAAGTCATGGGCACCGACTCCAGGTCATAGTGCCGGATGTCGTGCTCCATCTGCAGCTCCTCCAGGTGCAGTAGTAGCCGGAATTTCATCTCGTAGTTTGTGTGCTTCAGGGCTGTCTCTAGCTGGGCCCTAGCAGCGGCGGTGTGGGGGGAGGGGGGAGCGGCAGGAGGAGGGTGGGTCAGGCAGCCCCTATGCCCAGGGGTATCTGCCCTCTCCCGACTGCAGCGCCAGGACTATGAAAGCATCCGGAACCAGAAGAGACTAGGGAGCCTCAAAGAAGGGAGCCCTGACACTCCCTCCCTCCAACGCCCCTGCCCCCTACCTAAGACCCGAGTGGGCATCGGATCCTAGGGCGTGGCACATACGCCTCCCAAGGTCCCCCTACAGCCCCCACCTTCACCTCAGTCCCACGTCATCCCCTGCTCAAAGGTCACCCTCTCCAAGACGCCAGGACTTACTGCCCTCTGCAGAACAGCACAACCCACCCCTGACCCTGCATGAGTTTCAGCTGGGCTCTAGTTCAGTTCTTCACAGCACTCAGCACTCCGTTAAATTATCAGGTAAATGTTCTTTGTAAGAAATTTTAAGATAAACTGTTTTTGAGTAATTTCAAGGTGAGTCTCCATTTGTCTGCACTAGCAGGGGCCAGGCCCTCACAAGACTAATTCACCGGGAACAGTGCCCGGGCTCCCAAGTGTACGCGAAGATCATGAATGAATGGAGCGTGGGAGGCTGCGGACAGAGTTGTGAGGCGTGGGCAGGAGCCAGCGGGGCACCGACACAGAGCGCGGAGGGCACGAGGGGTGCAGGGGCTGGCACTCACTTGATTTCGGCAATCTTCTTTGGGGCAGTGAAGATATTTGTTCCTTGAAGTTGGGGGAGCAGCTGCCGGAGGTGGGAGGGTGGGTTGTACTTCTTCAGCGGCAAAGTTAGTTCCAGATCATAGCTCTTAGAGCTGCAGGAGTGGGGGAAGAAGAGCTGTCACTACACAAAGACCCCTCACTTCAGAGACTTGCGGAGGGCCCCCGCCCTGGGGAATGCGGGCACCCTGCCCAATGCTGGGGCTGAAGGCAGTCAGCGGCCTTCGACCAAGGAGGCAGAACTCACCGCCCCTCAGGCTGCTCACCCCAAGGGCGGACCGTTCACTTTCAGCTCTTGGAAAGGCACGATACTTGGAAGCGTTTAAAAATGTATATAATACACATATATGTATATAGCAATACATACTCATTAGAGAAAAAGCAGAAAATCGGTAATAAAACAATAAAACAACATTCTCACCATAACCCACATTCACTTTGGCATATGTAGCCATCTAGACTTTTCTCTTTGTTAATTTGTATTATACACATGTATTTGTACTAAAAAGAACACAGAGGTCTGCAGTTTGCTTTTACAGCTCGGCATTTTGTGAACACCCAGCCATGTCAAGAAGAGGTGTCTACACAAATTCCATTCAAACGAAATGTTCCGAAAAGGGAAACGTGCAGACGGAGAGCAGCGCAGTGGCTGCTCACGGCTGGGAGGGGTCGGGGAAGGCGGGGCGATGGGCGACGGGGGCGTGCTCCTTTTCGGGGTAATGAAACATCCTAAAACTGGGGGTTGCTGGGTCACACACCTGTGAGTACACTAAAAACCACTGACTCATGCACTTTAAAATGGGTGAACTGCGCACTTTAAAATGAGTGACATGTATGTATTATGAATAAAGCTGTTAAAAAAGAGAGAGAGATGCCTACATGGGGGCAGCCTGATGATCCACCATATGGTGGAAAAGCCTTGAATGTTCCCCCACTGTCCTCATATCTGCAACCTTCTCCCTGGACACAAACAGGAAAGCGGGCCTGGGCTTCCTCCAGCTTTGTGCTCTTCCCACGGGCCCACACTGCTGTGTCGCGGCCCCCCCCCCCGACCCCCCACCTGGACAGGGCTGGAGGGAGAAGTTACCGGTCAGGTCTCTCTCCCTCCTCGATCCGAGTGGTCATGACAGGGTTGCCAGTGATCCGGGTCTGCCTGTAGGGCGTCGTGGGCCTCAGCTGAGCGGCCAGGGGACTGTGGGCGACCGCAGCCAAGAAGCGAGCAATGTAGAAAGTGCCAGCTTTTTTGGAACCTGGCTCCTCGGGTCCCAGCAGCTCCCAGAGCACCGTGGCGGGGAAGTAGCCCACAAAGGTGGTGTGACAGTGGACGCGGAGCTCATAGCACTCACCTGGGGTGGGGGGGCTCAGTGAGTGGGAGTGTGGTGGGAGGGGGCCCCCCACCAGTACCCTTGTCCTGGACCCTCCCCCAGAGAGCCCCATCCTCAGCAGGGGCCCAGGGCACAGCAACAGCATGGTTCCCGACGCACCAGCCCTCCCTCCCTCGGGCGAGCGCCTGCCCACACAGGCTCCTTCCTCTGGAGACCCACTCACCGGGGCCCAGTGAGCAAGGCAGCGCCTGGTGTCCATAGTAGAAGGTAAACTGGGGGCTCCGGAAGAGCGGAAAGACGTGGGTGAGGGTGACAGGCTGGGTTCCTCCATTCTGAAGCCGCAAGGTCAGCACCACCTCGCGGTCCAAATCCAGGTAGATAAGGAGCTGCCCATCCCGGTCTTCATGGGGCCCCTGGATTTCCACATCTACACCGTGTTTCCCGTGGAGATACTCAGCCCTGCGGAGAGTGGGAGTCAAGGGGGCGCTGGAACAGGAGGGTCCTGGCGGGATGTTGCCCTCGGGCAAGTTTCAGGCTGCAGGCGCCCCCTCCCCCGGACCAAGGAGCTCCTTCCCTACCCTTGCCCCATTCCTTAAAGGAGGGAGCCTTACCCCAACACTTTCTCAACCAGGCAGCACCCCCCCGCCCCACACACACATACCTGTCATGAAAGATCTTGGCGAGCAGTGACTTGTGTTCCATGCTGATATCGGACACCTTGGCCCACCGGCCAAGTTTGAAGAACCTGACCCGAGTCTTGGTGACGTAGGCCAGATTGGCAGTCTTCATTCCATACAGCATGGAGGAGAAGCCAGGGGTGGATTTCCCGAAGCTGCCGGAAGCAGAGAAGACTGGGGAGTGAGGCGGGGCAGCGGGGCCAGGGGGACACAGGCAGCATGCGGGGGAGGTTGGAGGTGGCTCTGGGAGGACACACCGGGCCCTGCTGAGGAAGAGCCCCCGGGCCAGGGACAGAGACTCAGGCTGAGGATCTAAGGGATTTTTAATGTTTTAAGAAAAAGCAATGGGACTTCCCAAGGCCAAATTTGATTGTTTTAAACAGCAGGTTGTGGACATGCATTTCTGAGGAGAAAAGCCTAATTCGTGGGCTGTCGATGAAGAGGACTAAGAGGGAGAAAGAAATGAAGTTTTTGGGGAGAAACTACCGGGGACAGAAAAAGACAAAGACACCCCAGCAGGAAGAACTAAGGCTGAGGAGAGTGAATGAGGGTGGACCTGGGTCCAGGCTGATGGGCGGTGAGAGAGGTCAGAGCGAGAACAGGTGTCTGGGCATGTGGGCAAGGTGGCTGGCAGACAGCACTTTCCACCCTAAGCCAAAGCGTGCAGGTAGGACCCCAGCAGGAAGAGAAAGGATCCTTGTCCAGAGATCAAAGGCAGTTAGGCTTTACGCACCTAGAAAGGTAAAGACAGGGAAAACTGGTCAGAAGGACAAGAGCTCAATGTCCCGTGCCTGAAATTTGGTTTAGTTGACTCAACAAATGCTTATTACAGAGGCCTGTTATGTGCCAGACACTACATGCTGGGGATTCAGAGGGGCAAGAGCTGCAGCTCTGCCTCGGGATCAGGGGCTGAACACATCAGTCCCAGCCCCCACCGCATGGGGAGCAGCAAGGGGGGCTTCTGGGACCACACTGAGCCCGGGGGGGGGGGCGGCAGAAGCTAGTGTCAGGTGCAAGAGTGCGTGTAAAGTGTGGACCAGGTGGAGGGGTAGGCGAGAACAAGTGCTGAGGGGCTAGGGGACCATCGTTCGCCACCAGCTGGGTCACTTCAGGTTGTTTCGCCTCTCAGAGCCTCGCTTTCCCCGTCTATAAAACAGGGACAATGACACGTACCTGGCAGGGTTGTGAGGATTACCCGAGAGGACAGGGCTGTGACCCACACCACCCAGTGCTGGGCACATAAAGAGGCCTCCGTAAGGGGCGCTACGATTAGTAAGTATCGCACACAGTCTAGTTGTACTAGAGAGAAAAGCGCGAGGAAAGGAGGGGCAGGAGGCAGCAGAGGTGGGCAGGCACCAGGTCACGCATAGGTCTGCACGCCAGGCCGTCGAGCCTGGACTTGACCTTGAAGGCCAGCGGTCCTCCTCCTTTACTGGCACCCAGGAGCCAGAAGGCATCTCCACATGTGACATATTACATGGGCATATTCATGATCTGGACTGCTGACCACCCTCCTTCAATGCTTTCCAGGGAATAAAAGCAAATCCTAGTTCCTAAGAACCACGGTAATCACTACGGAACTATTAAGGCTAAATCAGCACGGTCACTCACGAGTGTACAGGAGGAGATATTTACAGTTACAGATATTTCCCTGGTGACCCCTGCCTGGAACTCTGACCCTTCCCTTCATCCCAAACAAATGAGAGCCACACTATGCAGAAAACTTTGTATCGGCTCTGATTTGTTTTAAAAAGGGTAAGGAATCATTTGAAAAGACAAAAGAAAAAAATGCTCAGTAAATGTTAGCTACTATTATGAGCATTCGTATTAGTAGTAATAGGAGTACTAATAGTAGCAGTAGTACTATGAGCAGCGACAACTTACTTTCAGCCCGAGCCAGAGGCTACACTGTGGTTACAGAACCACCCGGTTGGTGGGCTTTAAGCAGGGGTGTGGCAAGACCACATTTGCATTTCAGATCATTCTGGCGTCAGGACTGGAGGGTGGATGTGCTGGCGGCAAGACTGTAGGCAGGAGACCAGTTAGAAGAAGGCCATAGCAACTGTCCATCTGAACGATGGCAAGGGCCTGAACGAGGCAGTGGTAAGGACAGAAAAGGGGCCAGGGGTCATAATAAGTAGAATGTAAAATGAGCAGGATTTGGTGATTGTCAGGAGGGGGAGTGGAGAGGGGAAGAAGGAGGAATCTAGGACAACACCCAAATCAATGGCTTGGCTTTGAAGGCCATTCCTGAGATAGGAGGCAAGGACAGGAGGAGGAGGCTGGAGGGACTGACCACCCCATCTGGATTTGGACATGCTCAGTTGGAGACTACTGTGGTCCAGAGGCAGGTGGCTCTGTGAGTCAGAGGCTGAGAATTCGGGCCAGAGGCAAAGCCTAACATTAGGGAACCCTCAGGTAGCACTTAAAATCACAGCAAGTGTTTAGAATCTCCCCAGGTGGTGGGAGTACTCAGAGAGCGGAGGAGGCCGGAACAACCCAGGAACAAGAGGAAAAAGAGAAGAATCCCCCTCCCCCAGAGAGGGAGGAGGAAGCATCAGGAGGAAGTCTTAAAATCAGTTGTCAGCCTTGCTTGCTGCTGAGTCACAAAGGGACAAATCAGGAGAGTATCAGAAACTTGCATCTGGGCTCCTCGGTCAGTGAGTCATTCAATTTCACAGGTTGAGCAAACTCAAATGCAGACAGAAGCCAGGCTCCGGAAGTATTTCTGATACTTTCAGTGCTTTCAGGAACCTATTCTGCCTCGCTGTTGAGTCATTAGTGTAGGAAGGATGACACCCCGATTCCCTCATCTGGGGGACAGACGTTGGCTTGCGGACAATGTTGGCCCAAGATGTCCAGATCTGGCTTTTGAGAGAAGCCCAGATCAAAATATGAAGGTACAATCACCTATTTCTGAAAACTTCTGTGTAGGCACAGGGGCAAGAGGAACTGAACCTTTGCAAATTTTACAATTTCTACTGTGGGTGCTACCACCACAGTATTTCTCAAATCATTCCCCACATCTGATACTATACACCAGTTCACCTCTCCCTGCCTGGTCTAAGGTGAGAGCCGTAAAAAAACTTTTTTTAAGATCACAAACTTAGTACATACTGGTTAAAAAAAACAACACCACAACAAACACTCAATTCTTGTATTATACATGTAGTCACTTGGATTTCTAGGGGGAGAAAAGATGAATAATTCAATAGAAAAACTGAATATTCAACCTGAACAAATCCAGATGACCCCAAAAAAGTTTAAAAGATGCTTCAAAAGTAGAGACAGAAATTAAAGTAAAAGCAAGATACCATTTTTTTCCGTTAGACAGACAAAAATGGAAAACAGCCATAACATGTTTTGCTTAGTATATATAGAAAAGTGAAGTGGAAAGGGGAAGTACAACCCCTGAGAAAACAATGTGACAATATCTCATGACACTTGAAATACAGGTATTCTTTCACTTAGGAATCTCATGAAAAGAAAAATACAAGTGTATAACGACATATATGCAAGGATGCTTACTGCAGAGTCATCCACAGTGGCCAATAGCCAGAAACGGAACACATGCCCGTTAACAGGGAGACAGCCAAGTAAACTGTAAACACCCATTCCATGGAATACTATGCAGTCATGAAAAAGAATGTGCCACACACTCAAATGACTAAAACTTAAAAGGCTGACAATACTAAATATTGATAACAATATGGGAACACCAGAACACTCATGCATTGTAGGTCGGAGTATAAATGGTACAACCATGTTGGAAAAAGGTCTTAATAGTTTCTTATAAAACTAAACATACATCACAATGTTCTGATTTTTAATGAAAACCATACATTATTATATTATGTTGTACAATAAAAATTCATTTAAAAAATAATACAGTTGTAGCACTTAGCACTGATATTTATTCGACAAGTTCTTGCTGAAAGGATGAGTAAAAGGATTATCAAATTATTACAGACTTGTTCATAGATGAAACATGCGACAATGCACACATCAAGCGCACCGCTGGCTGGCACGCAGCACTGCTGTGCAATGGCCTGCGATGTTAGGTGCCAGGTATACAGATTGTCCATAAAGGAAGAAAGGTAATGAAAGGGAATTAAATATATGAAGACGTGGTCACACTGCTTTTATCTTTTTTTTAAATTTTAAATTATTTTTATTATTATTTTTTTAATGGTCACACTACTTTTAGATGGCTGTGTACATTTGGAGTCATTAATTGTAAGCAACAGGAAAAATGATGGCTGACTTAAGTGATAAAAGAGTTTTATTAAAATTGCTGGGAAGTTGGGTCCTGGCTAGCGTGGCTCAGTGGATGGAGCGCCAGCCTGTGAACCAAAAGGTCACTGGTTTGATTCCCTGTCAGGGCACGTGCCTGGGCTGCAGGCCAGGTTCCCAGTTGGGGGCATGAGAGAAGGAACTAGATGATGTTTCTCCTGCACACTGATGTTTCTCCCTTTCTTTCTCCCTTCCTTTCCCTCTTTCTGAAAGTAAATTTAAATAAATAAAATTTTAAAAAATTGTTGGGAAATTGGAAAAAGCAGGCTCAGGAAATGGGCAGGAACTAGCAAGGGAAGGCCGAGCAGCCTACCCCCACACAAGGTCAAAGAGCATGAATCTTCACCACTGTGGGAAGTTCTGCAAAACTGTCCTTTAAACAAGTGGTACAAACTTACATCTTCACTCACAAGAATTTGAGAATACCCTTTTCCCAGACCCCAGTGGAAATCTTCAATCCTTTAAATTTTTGACAACCGGATAGGCAACAATGGTATCCTGTTTCAATTTGCATTTCCCTGATCAATATATAGTTGGAGGATCTTGCTTTCTGCTTAATTAGTCATTTACATTTCTTTGTGAACTACCTGATCATAGGCTTTCCCAAGCTCTAGCTGCTGGCTCCTCCTTCACACTCTTCTCCTGGTCCATCATTAACTCAAATCAGACCCAGTCCCCCAGTTTGTGACTCCAGAGTCGACAGGAGTAAGTCTACAGCTTAACACGGTACGTTCACATCCTCCACAGTAATGATGATAATGCAATTAACATCAACACAGAAAACATTTATTGAGCACTCACTGTGTGGTGTTCTAAGAGCCTACACCCATTATTTCATTTAACCCTCACAACGACTGTGATCATTCCATTTTAGAGAAGAAACTAAGGCGCAGGTCCTCCCCCAACAAAGGCCTCTGGACAGTCCATTCTTAATGGCACCTCAGTCAGTCACTACTTGGACCGCGTTCAGAGCTCCCCTCCAGACCTTGTTATCGCTGTCAACATCCCTGGTCTGTAGTGCCCTGCCCCTGCCCTCTGTTGTTTGTTGGGTGACCGATAAGGAATTTTTTAGACCTGGTTCAGGAAAGAGCCACAGCTAGAGGAGCCGTATTTCAGAACATAGTATCAGAGTTGGAAGTGGTCTTAAAAGGACATCTAATTCCATGTTTTTCAAACTCTGGGTTGCAACTCTCACTAGTGGGTCAAGACCAGGATTTTTATAAAATTGAAATAGAACGGAATTTAAAATGTCTGAGGGCAGGGAGGAAGGCCACACATTGTTTTAAAGACACATGTATTGTTCTGTGGAAACAGTACATACCGGGCCCTGAAGTAAAAGGCGTGTTCTTCTGTGGACGGAGGTTCAACCACCAACCCACTTTCCCCGCCATAAGCCCCGCTCATCTTTCTGAAACCTGATCCTGTCGGTCTCCTCCTTTGACACTTTTTGTGCTTTGCTATTTCTGTTAAGATTAAAAAGAAAACAAACGCCGCAATGCCTCTCCACGGGCCCACAGGACCTGGGCCACCCAGCCTGCCTCCTCCCTCTGGCCTCTCATGTCACCGGGTTCTCCCAAGTTCACCCCAAGACTTTGAAGGTGCTACTCAGTCTGCAATGCTCTCCCCTGCCCCTTACATCTGCCACCTTCTGCTTATCTTTCACGATTCCATTCAAACAACACTTTTTCTCAGGAACTTCAAATTCCTAGACTAGGTCAGGTCTGCAAGGTATACACTCTCAACGCATACTAGACTTTTCCTCACAAGTGCTTGTCACAAGTCATTAAATAATTTTCTAAATTGCCACATCCTTCCTTAGACAGTTAGGTTCTTTCCGTGTATCTCTAGTGACTCATGCAAGCGGTACTTTGCTCTCAGGAGGTATCTGGCCAATATTTGTTGATAACAGACTGAGTCTGCTGCCCAAGGAAAGAAACTTCACAGCTCACCCCTCTCCATACAAGGGACTCCTAACCATCACTGTGCTGAAATGACAGCCACTAGTCCCAAAGCCGAGAAGTACGCCACACATGATAAAGGCCTTACTGTACATGATAGCTCATATTGGCCTCACCAACCCTGAGAGAAAGGCGTTATTTTACATCAGTTTAGGAAAACAGAGACATTAAGAAAAAGAAACAACAAACAACAGAGTCAAGGTGGAGTCCCCTGCCCTCAGGACTATAAAGTTAGACTTGATAGCAGTTTTGGTCTCTATGTGACTGCAAATCAGTCTGGCACTTCCTTATCAACACTGGTGAGGTAATGTGCCCTACAAGACCTCTGCTGCCAGCCCTTCCCACTCGCTGGCCCAAAGGTGTCCCAGCCAGAAACACCCTTTCTTTTCTTTTGTTACTCTTTCTTGCCTTGCCTTATTTTGGCCCTGGCCAGGTAGCTCAGTTGGTTAGAGCATCATCCTGATACACCAAGCTTAAGGGTTCAATTCCTGGTCAGGGCAGATACAAGAAGCATCAATGAAGACACAAATTAGTGGAACAACAAATCAATGTCTCCCTCTCTATGATCAATATATAAAATTTAAAAATCCTTCCATTTTGTACTTCTTGGAGGGTCTATGTTTTATTAGACAGGATGCTGCCTGATTCATGAATCCTTCAATAAAGCCAATTACATCTTTAAAATGTACTCGGTGGAATTCTTGTTCTTCAACAGCTAGTTATTCAAAATCTAATGCAACTAGTGAAGGGCAGAACCAGGATTTGAACTCCATCTATCTAAACACTAGTGCAGTACAGTACCTCTGTTGGTCTACACATCTTCCACTCCCTACCATACTCTGTAGAGGCAGGAACGAAGGCACAGGCACAGAGCAGAGTCTCCTTATGTAGGTTTTATTCATGAATGGAGATGGGATAGTGAAAAGAGCCGGGAGAAGAGCAGTTTGTAACATCTGAGGATAACCGGGTTGGAAAAGGCTTATCCCTTCCAGTGTAGGAATCTCCCTAGAATTCCTGGCAGTGCAGGCGGGCGGATGGGGGGTAGGGCTGGCCACACATCCCCTACAGCCTACTGTCTTGTAGATCAACTCTTCTTATTAATTCAGTTAGGTTCCACGAGCTTTGAATGAGCACCTACTATACACACAAGGCTCTCTGTGTCTTCCGAGGATCTGACAGTCTGGTGGCTTAAGACAGTCCCTACCAGCTCGAACACAGGCAGAGTGTAATCCAGCTATAAAACCAGGTGTGAAGAGGGAGCTGAGAGCCCAGGGGAAGAGGCAATGAATCCCCACTGGGAGGATGAGGGCTGATGTCACAGCATTCCAGCCTGGGTTTCAAACATGCGTAACAAAGTCCAATTAGACTAGAAATCTCCACCCGGAGTAGAGAGCGTCAGGTGGGTATGTTGAGTGAACCTAGATTCACCTTATGGAATGACACGGAAATATAATTCTCTCCATCATGACAGTCTCTCTCTCTCTCTCTCTCTCTCTTTTTTTTCCTTTCCTTTTTTAAATATCCAAAGTCAATTTTTCCTCTTTTCAAGGCAGGCATTTTTCGCTTTCTTTCAACCGAGTCTCACAGCTGACTATGAAGCAACTTAGAAGCCTTTCCTCCACCTCCTCCAAATACAAAAACTCTATCTATCCTTCAAAGCCAAGGTCAATGCCATCTTCTCCACTGAGTTGCCTTGTATACTACACGCATAGCATTGCTTCTATCGCTTCCCTGGGATGGTGTAATTTTCATCATATATTCCCACAGTGCCCAGCAGTGTGGGAGCACAAACAGGTCTCATCTTAGCTCCTTCTTCAGATGTTTGCTCAAGCCTCTAAATGTCCCTCTTAAAAATGTCCCACTCGTTATTGAAAACAATATTCCAGATGTAATCTGGTCAATATGGAGAGTCACGCCCTCTAATACACACTTCTGTTAACACGGTCCCACACTTCTTTCGCCCTTTCTACAGCCACGCTGGCCTTCAGTTTGCTAAAACCCAGTCTTTTTCAAGTCTCTTATTAAGCCTAACCCCGTATTTGTGTAAGTCTTTGCGTTTATCCCTGTTGTTTCTTGGTTTTCTGTAGCCTGTTGATAGAAGCGTTTTTGAAGCACAATTCTATGGTTGGACACAGAAAAGTCTCTGATTTTCACTTGGATGGTACCAGGCCAAGGGGACCAAACAGCCCTTCAGCCACAGGGTAGAAGGGACTCCCGGGAGAGTGGCCCTGGCCCTGGGTCTTTAGGGAGAAGCCACAGGTGCTAACGGGGGTTCGGCACGTATACAGATGGTGCCTTTTCTTCTTTCCAAGCTTCCTGAGACTCCCTCCCACTCTGGGACTCTCCAGCTTTTTGGGATAGTGGATCTCGGAAGAAACAGCCCCTCAGCGAGGGAGCGGGGGTGACAGTGAAGCCTGTGCCTCCGCTCGCCACCGCCAAGAAGCACCTTCCCCGCGCTTGCGCGACGCCGGGGTTCCCCACCCAACGCCCTCCTCCCCCGGCCCAGCGCGGTCCTCCTCGGCCCCCTAGACCGGCTGGTCGCCGCGGGACCCCGCCCGTGCCCGGGGCGCCGGGGAAGCGGGCTGCGCGGGAGGCTCTCCGTAGGGACTTGGGCGCAGGGACCCGGACCGGGTAGAGCTGGCGGGCTGGCTCGAGAGGAGCGGGAGGGGCGTGGGCACCAAGCGGGAGGGGACGTCCGCGCCGCCCCGGGACTGGCCAGAGCCACTGCAGGAGCTGCCGTTCCTGCGCGCTCGCGCGGGAAGGGTGGCCCCGCCGCGGGGGTCGTGGCCGCGCGCCGGGCCCGCGATTCTGGGCCGGGGAGGGGGTCGGCCCGTACCTGGTCTTGAAGTTTTGGTTATAGATGGTGCGCAGCTGCTCGCGATTTGTCTCCATGTCCAGTCCCTGAACGTGAAGGAAATTCTCGAAGCACTGGCCGATCTCACGGAGCTGCCGGAGACTGTACTTGTGGGGCATAGCGGCGGCAGTACGGCCCCAGCGAGAGGGTAGGTGGAAGTGAAACTGAAACTCGGCGCCGCGGCAGGAAGTTAGGATGAAGGTGCAGCTGCGGGGAGAACCCTAACTCTGACTCCTGACCCTGTAGGGTCACCTCTCCCCAAGCGACTTCCCTTCGCTGTGCTCTTCCTACCTGAGCCTTCCCTCCGGTCTCCGTCCTATCCCCTCCCCCTCGCCCCATTAACTCTTTCCTCAGGAGTCTGACCCCTCCCTCAGGGCCCTCCCCTTGCCCCAGTCTCCCTCCCCTGGATCCCAGCCAAGCGAGGAGCGCGGGTACCGCCTGGGGCCCGGGATCAGTTCGGGAGCAGCCCTGGCCCGGCTGCTCCCACGCCCACCCGCCAGAGCCCTGGGGTTCACAGCGAAGCCGGACAGCAAAGGACAGGGGCTGGGACCGGGGTCGGCGGCTGCAGGACTGGGGCAGCTCGGGCAGCACCTCCCCCAGACTGCCGGGGGCATAACCAGTGCGGAAGCGAGCGGCACGCCTCCCTCCCCCATTTTCCCTCCTCGGGCTTTCAGACAGGGAGGAAGGCAAAAGAGCCAGAGAAGTTTGAGGGAAAGAACCAAGTGTCTCCGAGAGAAAGGTGTGTACGTGTGGGAGGGAGGGACGAGGGGCTCCGCCAGCACAAATCATTATTTTCTCTGCTACAGAGGCTTCGTTATTTGGAAAGGCTGACTGACAATCCTACCCTTGAGCCATATCTTTGGACTTTTAATTGCACTCCAGTTTGCATTGCTTTGTTATTTTTATAGAAGGGTTGGCCCCATCATCAAAAAATACTAGCTTTTTGAGAGCAAGAGCCCAGGGCATCAGTACCCGGAAGAGAAGACCAGCGTGCTTCAAAAAACCCCAGACTATTAAGACAAATAAAGGGGGCGGGGCTACCACAGCAAACCGAAAACAACGAGCCTGGGCATCTCTGCATCTTCTGGCATAACAAAAACACATTAGAATGGGGCAAAGATAATAAAAGTTATACAAAAAGAATTTTAAAACAAATATAGCAGGGTTCCAAATACATCAAAAGTAGTGTTGCTCTCCAAAGTAATTCGCTGCAGGAGGTCACGCAGTCTGACCTCCTCCGGAGAGTCCAGACCCGAGGTCGTGCTCCAGCTGGGCTACCCTTGTACCTTTTCCCAGGCCAACAACCATCTAAAGCCAGGAACAACAGTCTTTAGCAACAGGAAATGCAAAGTCAGTGGGAACCAAAGCTACAGGGATGGGGAAAGCAGAGCTGAGGAGAATTTGTCTTAAAAATTGATTATGCAAAGTAGAGGAAAAACACTGGGAAAATAACCAGGGATTTTACCTTTTTCTCCCCCAAATACCTGGTGAGGCCTGAAACTGAAAAAGAGAGTGAACTCTGACATGTGCTGTTACCATTTCAAAAACCTACCACCTACTTTACCCAAATCGAATATCTGGTTCCATTTTGATCAGCAAATCAATGATGTCCCCATTATTCTTGGATGCATAACCTCGTCCACCTGTGGTAAGGCCTATTTCTTGAATGTTCTCAAAACATAAGCAACCATAGTACAGTCAAAATTAAGGTAAAAATATGATGTTATGTGTCTTTGCTTACCGTGAAACCTCTGTAAACCAGTTTCATCTAGAAAAAAATATACACTTCATATGCAGTTGTATCTATTTTCAAACATACTGGCTAGAATGGCCTTCCCTTCTGAGGCTGGAGACAGCATAGGAAGAACTCAGTCCAGCATCCTGGCTGCCAGGAAACGCCCTTTATCACTTGAGTTAGAATGAATAGTAAACCCAGGCAGGGAGGAGGAGGGAGACATGTCTCACTCACTCCGCAGGCCTGAGCCTGGAACGATAATATTGCCAGGTGTTCCAGTATCACCAGAGACACTATGTTAGCACAGGAGGAGGGAAGTCCTTGAAATTCTATGTGGCGTTTCTACTATCTGGGAAAGAAGGCCTTGAAACTGCTTTCATCCCAAGGCCTGAAATGCGGGAGAGGGTCCGCAGTGCCCAAAGGAGCAGCCCATAAATAACTTGGGGTAATTGCCCCAGCTTTAATTAACTGCCTCCTGTCACGTATCTGTTTCACGACAAGATGAACAAATGGAGTCTGGAGCAAGTTAGGGATTCGGGCTAACAGACCCCCACACATACTTAAGTTTGGGTAGTCACATCCTCCCCGCCCCCAAAGCTGGCACCACACTTACCCATTAATCAATATAACATTTTACTCGCGTCCCACCAACTATGTAAGTCCTCAGAACAAGGAACTTGCTGTCTTGGCACGCTGGGCAGTCTTGGCGCTCTGGCTGCCCGTCCTCAGGCCTCCTGGGGGCTTGCCACCCTGGCCTTCAGCTGTTCTTGCTTTTGCTGCCCCGCTTCGCCCTAAACCTCTGCCTTTCTGCCCCCGCCTCCCCCCTGCCCCCCCCCCGTCATCTCAGCTAGGCCCATTCTCTTCCATGGGAACGGACCACTAATAAACTCTGATTGTATGCTAATAGATTTGCTGATATATAATTCTTTACGTGAGTCAGCAAGAAGAACCAGGTCTCTCCCGTCAACACTTCCATCTTTAATATCCAGCTTAGGTTTCATTCTCTCTCTCTTTTTAAAGTTTTTATTTATTTTTAGAGAGATGGGGAGGGAGGGAGGGAGAGAAACATTGATCGCAGGCCCCCAGCTGGGGACCTGGCTCGCAACCCAGTCAAGTGCCTTGGCTGGGAATTGAAGCAGGCAACCTTTCCGTTTGCGGTTTGTGGGACACCACCCAATCCACTGAGCAACACCATCAGAGCTCATTCACTCTCTTGAAGTCATCCCCAATCCTCCTCCATTTACAAGCAGCTGATTTTAAAGCAGTAAGGTTGATTTTACTGTGGGTCCACATAACACTGAAGGCCATCTAAAACTGAGCTTTGGCCAGTGATGGTACTGAAATAAATTTATAGCTTCACAAGGTATCTACTTTGAAGATTAAAAGCTCTGTATTTTTTCAGTACTCCATAGTTAACTTGGGTTCAGCAATTCATCGACTGTTCTCTAACTTGGTGTGTTCCAACTGGACCATAATCCCAAAGGCAACTGGAAAGCAGCTCTTATATATTGAAATGCTGAAATTAGTCTAATATAGATCAAAGGAGAGGCTGTGGCCAGTATTATGAAATCTGTATTTACAAACACCTACTAAAACTTAATCTCAGAATCAGTACTTGCAGTACTTTTGCAGTCATTCATGGACCTATCCAGAGCAGGAAAAAAAAAAAAAAGTTGCCCAGTGTGTCTGTTCCCAGCTGACGAACAAAGGTGATGTTCTTTCTTGTTTCAGCTCATGTGATAAACAAATATCCTCTTTGTGATGTATTTTGTGGTCACATTTTTTGCATTTTTGTCCTTTTTTTGACTTCATTGCTTAAAATGGCCCCCAAGCCTACAGTGCTGAAGTGCTTGCCATTTCTAAGCATGAGAAGGCTGTGATGTTCCCTATAGAGAAAATTCCTTTAGATAAACCTCAGGCATGAGTTATAGTCTATGGTGCTGGCCATGAGTTTAACACCAGTGAATAAGCAATGGATGTTCGATAATTGTGCATTGGCCAGTTGATAAAAATGTGACCAGAACCTCACAGGAATCTCATCTTTTATTTCCCCTAGGAGCAATCTGCTAATTCATTGTTTGCTGGTAACCTTATAGAACATAACTACTGCGAATGAGAACTGTACATTCATATACATATCAGAATGCTTTTTGAGATACTGGATTTGAAGTAGTATGACATTGATTTCTGCCCTCAGGTGGCTTAGATCCTTTTTATGTAGATGTTGTCTGTTCGAGGGAGAATTTGTTAGCTTATCTTGATGAACCATCCATTTTTGTTCTGTATTTACCGATCTTCCTTTCTTTCTGACTTTTCATGTAGTAGGTGCTTGATAGTTCTATATAAAATGATAAAATCATAAATTGGCACTCGGGTATGTACCAGTCTTTAGTGGGTCTGGAGAGAATGTGCCCAGGTTTGCCACCTACCTCATGAACCTCTGTTAGTCTGGCATCGAAGTTCCAGTTTGTAAAAGAGAGAGCGGGCACTGGACTAGGCACTTACAGCACAGCCGCCCAGGCTCGAATGAGTCTTCAGCAGTGTAATTTCAAACCCAAATACAGGAGTGAGGCCTCACAGAAAAGCGCTTTTTCATCTGGGTTGATTTCAGTAGTGTATGATAAAATACACATAATTCAAGCACATACTCTAAAGAAGGAGGTTGAGGACTTGGCAAGGAGGGCTGACTTTCTCCCAATTACGTAACTGAGGGCTCTGATGGCCAAAAGAGTTAAATTCTTAGAAAAATCTGTAGGGGATAAGGGAATCCATGGAATCGCCTGGGGGCACCCTGACTAGTAAGTTAAAGGCAAAGGCCAGAATGTTTGCGTCTGCTCTAAGAGTACAGAGTGTAATGCAGTGAAACGTCCCTCAGAAAAGAGGGGAATCTGAACTGACCTTAGATGGAGTACTGAAACTCCTCTGGCTCTCTGTTGAAGACCAGGATAAAAGCCTTTCCCACATGTCTAGCTAAGTCAGACTTGTGTGGAAGGAAAGCAGTACTTAAAGTCAATGTGAAATAGTACCCAAGTTGGAGGCATGAGGGATTCTTCCATTTCTGTTTCCTGCTTAGTGACAACCACCACACTGGGGCCCTGCTTTTTTTTTTTTAACTTTATTTTTTTTTTTTAGAGAAAGCGGGAAACCTTGATTTTTTTGTTCCACTTATTTATACATTCATTGGTTGATTCTTGTATGTGCCTCCACTGGGGGGAATCAAACCCGCAACCTTTGGCACATCAAGACGACACTCTACCAACTGAACTACCTGGCCAGGGCTGAGTGAAGGAAGAGCAGTATGATCCATAGAAACCTATTCTTTGCAAGTCTTTGTATATTCACTATATCTAGAAGAGTGAAGGTAGGACTCAGTTTCAGAAACCCTCAACATTCTCTTCAAATAGAGTTCCACTTCTTAACTTGAGAACAAGGCTGAAGGGATGGATCAAAAAGAAGAGACTCAGACCATTTAAGAACAAAACAGGTATATTTCTATTGGACTATCTGATACA